GCTGAGAGGTGTCACCAGGAAGGCTACTTCGACTGTCTCCGATTCCCGTAAACGGTGAATGTGGAAGGGTCTCGGTTTTTGATTTGTTCATTGTTTCTTTAGATTGAAAAAAAATTAGTCGAGAATAGTCCTGTAACATAAAAGATGTATTTTTGCATTAATCATTTTTCCAGGAAAATTATCGAATGTTATCAGAAAAGGCCCGAAAATTTATCGAAGAAAATGTAAAACTAATGAAGCCAAATGCAGTGCATATTTGTGACGGTTCAAAAGAGGAAGCTGATGAGCTTATTTGTCAAATGGTCGGCAACGGAATGTTGAAGCAACTAAATGCTTATGAGAATAACTATATTTGTAGGACAGATCCAAGGGTTAGTTTTTTTATCAATCAAATGCATTATGACGCCAAAATATCCTTTAGAAATGGTGCTGTTGTTGATCGTTCCGATTTTTTTTTTCAGGATGTAGCACGCGTAGAAAGTAAAACCTGGATGATTACACCTGAAAAATTTGATTCGGTATGCCGTACAGCTGAGGGTGTGAAACCGATAATGGGTAATTGGATGTCACCGGAGCAGTTCGAAAAAGAGAAACATTCACGGTTTCCCGGATGCATGAACGGTCTGTTTTTTAAAAAAAATTGTTTTTTTTTCTTGCAGCAGTGTTAAATGAATTTGAAATATACCGAAAACTCCTCAAAAACCGCACATTTTATAGGTCGAACAATGTATGTAATTCCGTTCTCGATGGGCCCAGTTGGTGGACCAATTTCAAAAATTGGAATTCAGGTTACTGTTTTTTTGAAAATTTTCTTAATTATTTTTTCCTCAAAAATATTTTTTTTTTCTTGTAATTCAGCTAAACTCTGCTGTTTTTGAAGACAAAGCGAATTCCTACTTATTCCGCTAAGAAAAAAAATTATTTTCTACACGCATTTGACTTACACGGCATAATCCCAACATAACTACGGAGTCGAATTGGCTTCATTATTCATTGCTCAGAGAAAAAATTCTAGCCTCCCCTTCATAGGTAGCGGCAAGCAGAGGACCAACAAGATTACAGGCTTTTATGATTAGCTTCTTGGGATTTACAGATCGTGGTTGCGATTAAAAAAAAAATTATGTTTTGATTTCACTTCAAAACATCATTTTACATTGTCTTTTTAATTCATTTAGACGTGGAAAGCAACAAAATTTCGGATTCACACCTTTTTTTTCCTGAATTATAATGTGAGCATGTGTTTGAGTGAAGGATGAACAGAGGTCATAGGCCAAGCAGATGTTGAGAGCCTATTTTATGGACATCAAATCTATGATGATTGGTACTCATCGTGATATCTCTAAAGGCTGAGCTAATCAATGGATAAATTTACAGATAAATGTTATCTCATATAGATATGTTCTCGCCCTAAGCGCGGTTTTTGTGCATCATTGGTGCAAAAATAAATATATAAAACTGTTAACTCGAAATTTGTCTTTTAAATACCTCAGCCTCTAAGCAACTGAAAGTTGTTCATACTTAATTGAATACATGAAAGTCTTAGTGAGCAAGTCAAAAAATCCACTCTCTTAGTGCTGTACAGCCTATTTTCATTGGTCATCAAACCGCGATATTCCAGGTGACCGATTCCAGCTATGTGGTGCTTTGTATGCGTATCATGACCCGAGTTACTCCAAAAGTATGGGAGACACTTGGCAATAATGATTTTGTGAAATGCATTCATTCCGTTGGCGCACCCGAACCTTTAAAACGTATGTTTTTTGATTGTATTATGCACACATATAGGTTGAATTACGGTTCAAATTTTTCATTCAGACTTATTGTAAATACCCGTTATTATGTTATTTTGAAATTTTATAAATACGGCCTGCTACTTGCCGAACTTCAAAATATGCCTCTGTGAAAATGAGCTTTTTCTTAAAACATACATTTTGTAAGAATTTGGGAGAAAAAACACTTCTTAAGTTTTTTCGTAGAAACCAACTTTCATTACTGATTAGTATTTTGTATAACTATTAATGTTTGCAAGAATTTTATCTTTATTTGCAAAAATTTTGTCTGTCAGGTGATAATTAATTTCATATATTTTTCAAAAAGTTAGGTTTGCCCCCTTCCGTTCCCAACTTGCTTCTAAAAAAAGAAGGAAAAGGATTTGATAAAATTTAAAAAATTTTAAATTTCCTGTATCCTTCTGCCTTTTTTTTGTAGCATTTATAGAAAATTTGAAAGA